TTGCAAATCGGCTTCCTGTGGGCAGAGGGACGGCTAACGCCGGGTCACGCTAACCCCAGGTCAGGCTAACCCCAGGTCACGCTAACCCCAGGTCACGCTAACGCCGGGACACGTTAACGACGGGTCGGGCTAACGCTGGGTCACGCTTATCCCAGGTCGGGCTAACCCTGGGACACGTTAACGCCGGGTTACGCTAACACTGGGTCACACTTATCCCAGGTCGGGCTAACCCTGGGACACGTTAACGCCGGGTCGCGCTAACGCCGGGTCACGCTAACCCCATGTCACGTTAATGACGGGTCGGGCTAATGCTGGGTCACGCTTATCCTGGGTCAGGCTAACCCTGGGTCACGCTAACGCCGGGTTACGCTAACGCCGGGTCACGCTCACCCAGGGTCGGGCTAACGCCGGGTTACGCTAACGCTAGCTGACGCTAACCCCAGGTCAGGCTAACCCCGGGTCCCGCTAACGCCGGGTCCCGCTAACGCCAGGTCACGCTAACGCCAGGTCACGCTAACCCCAGGTCACGCTAACCCCATGTCACGTTAACGATGGGTCGGGCTAACGCTGGGTTACGTTAACCCCGGGTCACGCTAACCCCGGGTCGGGCTAACGCCGGGTTACGCTAACGCTGGCTGACGCTAACCCCGGGTCAGGCTAACCCCGAGTTACGCTAACGCCTCATCACGCCAACCCCGGGTCATGCTAACGCTAACCCGTTGGTGCTTTGAACCTGTTTGGGTTCTGAGTGTTTGTGGGAGGTGATTGGTTTTCGTTGTGTCCTGAGGATCCGGTTCTGTGAATAGGGGCGTGCGCGGGGCGGGGTCCTTAGGGTTCTGGTTTCTGTCCCTCTGCTCTCAGGCCGACGGCGTGTAAAAATGCACTTAAACTCTTCTGCACTATTCGCTATTTCAGTCTCCACTGGAAGCCCCGAGAAGCCACAACCAGCTCAGAGTCCAGATCCGGTCCAGAGGGGGGCCTGATCCAGGTCTGATCTGGGCCTGATATGGGCCTGATCCGGGTCTGATATGGGCCTGATCCAGGTCTAAACCGGGTCTGATATGGGTCTGATCCGGGCCTGATCTGCGTCAGAATCAGGTCTGATCCTGGTCTGATATGGGTCTGATCTGGGTCAGGACCGGGTCTGATATGGGCCTGATGCAGATCTGATCTGGGTCTGATCCAAACCTGATATGGGCCTGATCCAGGTCAGAATCGGGCATGTGATGGGCCTGATCCGGGTCTGATCTGGTCCTGATCGGGGTCTAAACCGGGTCTGATCTGGACCCGATTTGGCTCTGATCTGAACCTGATCCGGGTCTGATCAGGGCCTGATCCAGGTCTGATCCGGGTCTGCCCTCTGGACTGAGAGCTCCTGGTTATGTAACCCCCCCCTCCCTCTCGACCTTTGACCTATGCAACTCTGGCCGGTGGGCGGGGCCTGGACAGCTCGCTGCTCCACCGCCCCCCAAAAGATGATCCCAGCCGGGATGGGGGTTGTTAGTTAGGCTCCGCGCTCCGTTTGGGCTCCAAGTCCGGACCCCCCCCCCCCC